CTTTGGGAGCTTAGGGGAGCTCCCTCCCACCTGCTGCACTTTGCTGCGGCCATCGCTGCACAGAGTCCAAGTTGGGACTGCAGCTGTTTGAGTTGGAGTTGTACTCTTCGACACACGGCCGTTTGGCCAACTCGCCGACCTGATGCTCGACCTGCACCCACCTTTGGGGGTGAAGGGCTTTTTTTTTTTTTTTTTTTTTTTTTCAACCAGCCTTGGCCTGCTAGGGGAGGTGGTGAAAGCACCCGGCCAAGAAGCCGATCTTCAACCGAAAAGTCACACAGACAAGCCACCAGGTGGTTGTTTAGTAATGTTTAGTATGATATGATGGAGAGATCTCGCTGAGGGGCAAAGTCACAAAGAAGCAAAGCGCTTATTAGGTCCACCATCATCTGCTGCTTCCACTGTTGGAAGCCTCGACAACAACCTGGGCTTCAAAAAAATAATAATAACAATAAAAAAAAAATTGAGCCCATATATCTCACATCCTGTTGGAGACCTGGGGCGAGGTCCCACTAGCAACATGGATTGGATCGAACGCCTGCATCTAGATGTGCTCCTGGAAAAGTGCAGAAATTCTAGATTGAACAGCTTTTCTGCATCTCTGCTTAAAACACGTCCAGATTCAGGAGCTCAATCCAATCCTCTTTGCTAATGGGACCATGCTCCTGGTTGTTCATTGTGGCTGAAGCATCTGGCTGAGGGGTAAAACTCACGGAGAAGCAGAGCCTTTTTTGTTTTGTTTTGTTTTCTCCCTTATGAATCCACTGGTGAGAGAGAGAGAGAGAGAGAGAGAGAGAGAGAGAGAGAGAGAGAGAGAGAGAGAGAGAGAGAGAGAGAGAGAGAGAGAGAGAGTGGTCCTCTATTTCTGTTTCTTCCACTGTTGGAGCTCATCTATATCTCCTCCCATCGAGGAACAACGGTTAGCCGAGTTGTGAAGAGAAGCAGAGCCTTCATTTGGTCGTCCACCTGTTCCTTCTGCTGTTGACGCTCTTTTTTTTCCTGTTTTTCTGTTTTTTTTCTTTTTTTTTGTTGTAAATCTGTCTGCGTGTAACGCACGTGCGGAGATGGTGAAGGAGAGAGAGAGAGAGAGAGAGAGAGAGAGGAGAGATGGACACACACAAGAAGCAGCAGCTGAATGGTCCACTCCGGCCAACGAAAGAACGAACAACTGAATGAATCAACCTCCCGCCCTGGGCCTAGGCCGAAGTGATATACCGGCCTAGGTCCAGGTATGGAACAACCTGGTACCGGACCAGGGTCAGGCCGACGGCCTGAAACTGGTCCGGCCTCACTGTCGGGCCGTAGGGGTACCGCTACACGAACCTCGGACCTGTGAATGGATCAAGCGATACATCAAACACGCTATCCGCTGAAATAGCGGAAACCCAAAAGGAACGGCAAAAGAAACAATCCTAGAAAAATGTCTGACCTGTGTCGGCCAAGAAAGAGAAAAATGTCCGACCTGTGTCGGCCAAGAAAAGGAAAATGTCTCATGAGCCAAATAGGCTGAATATAAATCAACACCAGGGCCCTAACGACCAAAGAATAGCTAAGCCAATGTCCTACGTCGAAAAGAATGTGGCACAATCTCACGTGCCCTGTACATAATGCACAATACCTGAACAGAAGAGAAAGGAACTCAGTCGCATGGCAGAGGTAGGAATGGGTGGGAAGGCGGCAGGTACAGCTCTCAGAGTAAACTCCAAGGGGGCACCCACACAACCAGGTAAGGGTCATCAGGCTCAGAGGGAGAGTAACAGCACAACACCGGGCTCAATGGAAACCATCAAACGGGTACCGCCAGCTGAAAGGGGGAAGGGCACTTACACAAGGGAGCACACATAAGGTGAGCGTGGAAGGAGAGGGGGGGCTATGCCGGCATAGACATGTGGCCAAAAGTTGCGAGCAAAGAAAACGTATACTCCAGAGGAGGGCGCGCAGCATAAGGTAAGGCAGAAGGGCGGCAAGTGGACACACCCACATAGAAAGGGAAAATAGGGGTCATCATGCGACTGGAGGATAAGCTCGGGGGTGGTGGATAGGTGGGAATGATGGGAACTCTTAGCCGAAAAAGTGAAGTAGTCCAACTGATGAGTCTCGAGACTGAAGTCGAACCGAAGTAGCCTGGATGAAGTAGGAGTACCGCAAGAACCGAGTAGAAGTTCGGAACAATGTGACAGGTACGTTGGTACTGAGGAGAAGCACTGAGGTCGAAAGTTGAATGTAGAAGCCGAATGTAGAAGTCGAATGTAGAAGCCGAATGTAGAAGTCGAATGTAGAAGGGGAATGTAAAAGCCGAAACCTGGAGCTGCTGCATAAGTGTCCAAGAATGGTAAAAGATAGAGGGCGTATAGGGCTTAAGATCAGTCACGATATCGAGAAGGAAGTCGATGGGTACGCTAAGGGCGAGAGGACTCAACTGCAACAACAGGCGGAACCACATCCACAGGGGAAGGAGGACCTGAGGCAGGTACCGGTGGAGCAGGAGGACCCATTGATGGAGGAGGGGGAATGTWAGTGGTCGCAGAAGTAGATGGGTTAGTAGTAGAAGGACGAGAAGTAGGGGGGGAGGATGATGAAGGGAAAGGATGAGCACGATCGTAAGCACGCACGAAAGTCATAGCATGCTTCAGATGCTCAAGAGGCTCCCAAGTAGACTCCTCGTCAGGGTAACCCTTCCATCGAACGAGATACTCGAGGCGGGGAGGGTCACCATCAGTCATACGCCGGGACGTGATATCAGAGACGACAAACTCCTCGTGACCCTCAATGATGATAGGAGAGGGGCGAGGGTAAGGTCGACCATGGAACTCAGGAGGAGACCGTCTGAAGGGGTGCAAAAGAGATACATGGAACACGTCATGTAAGTTAGCGCGGTACATGGAATTGGGGAACTTCAATTTGAAGCTCACCGGACAGTCATGGTTGGGTCCGGCGGGTGCAAGAATGGTGCATGGTCCAATATATCGACGTCTGAATTTTCGAAGTGTGTCAGCTTCGGGCTGGAAGTGACGTGCGTCGACAAGAACCTCGTCGCCAACTTTGAAGGGATGGTCGATGCGAGAGGGGTTAGCGCGAGTGGCCATGCGAGTCTGGGAGTCAGCAATGCTCTCGCGAGCCTTGCTAAAAAGCGCATCCATCTCCTTTACCCAGTCATTGAGGGCAGGGCATTTGGTGTCGGGATGGATCTAAGATGGACGGAGAAGGGCAGATGGGACACGAGGATGGTATCCCAAGTCACAGTAGTAGGGAGACACGCCAGTGGCAAGTGAAATAACATGGTTATAAGCGATCTCTGAGTGAGCAAGATGCAGATCCCAATCAGAGTCATTCTCAACAAACTTCTTGAGGATACTCCCAAGAGTTTTGTTGGTGACCTCCACGCCAGAAATGAGAAGTAAAGCGGGGATCGCGATCAGAGACGATGCTGGTGGGAAGACCGTGATGGATGGCAATACGGTTGAAGTATAGGGAGGCAATGTCTTTGGCTGAACTAGCATACTTGCAAGGGAGGAAGTGAGCATGCTTAGTCAACCGACGGACAACGACGAAGATGGCGTCGTGGCCTCGTGGGGTAGGGGGACGAAGAGGACAGATGAAGTCCATGGAGACAAAAGTCCAACGCTGAGTGGGAATGTGTAAGGGTTGAAGAAGACCGTAGGGGGGGTGGTTGGGAATGTTGGTCTCCTGGCAGATCCTGCAGGTGCGGACGTACTCCTTAGTGAAAGGACGACGGTGCTCCCAGTAGTAATGGCGGTAGAGGCAGTCAAGTGTCTTGAAGACACCGCGATGACCGGCGGCGCGCTGGTCATGACACTCAACGACGGCCCGAACGCGGAGCTGGCCAGTAGAGGGCACGCATAAGCGGGGAGTACGAGTACCTTGGCGACCAAGCCAATATAGGAGTCCAAAGGGATCGAGCTGGAAGTTAGGGACGGACTTGCCATCCTGTAGGTCAGCGTAGATGGACTGAAACTCAGGGCACTGGGTGTATGCGCGGCGGTACTCATCCAGAAAGGCGGGGTGGATGGTGGGAGCTGAGATAGCAGATAGTTGACGATTCTCGCACTGAAGGTCGGGGCGGCGGGATAAGGCATCTGCAACACGCTTGCTTTCGCCGGAAATCTTCTTGATGGTGAAGTCGAACTCCGAGAGGTCACGCCACCAACGAGCCTGACGAGAAGTGAGCTTAGACTTCGTCTGGAAGGCGGCGAGGACAGAGTTGTCCGTCAAAACGGTGAAAGTATGACCGTGCAAATGATGACACCACTTCTTAACAGTGTAGACCAGCGCAAGGACCTCACGCTCGTCGGCAGTATAGTTACGCTTAGCGGGAAGTAGTTGTCAAGATAGATAAGCAACCGGACACTCTCCATCGCGAGACTCGACTGTACCGTCATCAGCGATGTCAGGAATATAAGGGGGTGGGGCCCCGGGGGGGGTGGGCTCGATGGGTGCAAGATGAGCCGCAGTCGCTAGAGGTGGAGGAGGGAAGCGAGGAATGCGAGGGAGGCGGGACTCTGTGGAATCAGGAGAAGTAGAGCGGGCTGGGTAGATCTGGGAGAGAACAACTCCAACAGCGAAGTCAGATGCAAGCGGAAAGCATCCTCGTGAGCCGGGGTCCAATGAAACAGTAGACGTCCGCGGGTCAGAGGGGTAAGCTGGGAAGAATACTGCGCGTAGTTTTTAAGAAAATGACCATAGTAGTTGGTCAACCCAAGGAAACTACGCAGCGGAGGAAGAGAAGTAGGAGTGGGCCAGTCGACAATGGCCTGAATCTTCGAGTCATCCATGTGGAGTCCGTGCTCGGAGACCTGATGCCCAAGGAAGTCGACTTTGGGTTGAGCGAAGTGGCATTTGGAGAGCTTCGCATAAAACCCATGGTCGCGTARTCGCTGSAGGACCTGTCTCTTATACACATCTAGATGTGTATAAGAGACAGAGGTACGACTGTAGACCAGGATGTCGTCGATGTAGACTAGAACCGAGTCCTCAAGAAGGTCTTGGAACATCGTGTTCATAGCCGTCTGGAAGCTGGCAGGGGCATTACGGAGACCAAAAGGCATGACGGTAAACTCGTAGTGCCCAAAACGAGAACGGAAAGCGGTCTTAGGCTGGTCCTCCTCGGCTACGCGGATCTGGTGATATCCGCTACGAAGATCGATCTTCGTGAAAAATTGGTGGCCGGAGAGGCGGTTGAACAGATCATCCGCACGGGGCATAGGATAATTGTTTTTGACCGTATATTCGTTGAGACCGCGATAATCGAGGCAAAGGCGGAGAGTGCCATCCTTCTTGCGATCGAAGAGGACAGGTGCACTCCATGGGGACGTACTCGGTTTAATGAAGCCCTGACGAAGCAACTCGTCAATTTGGCGTTTAAGTTCCTGGGCTTCGGGAACCGAGAGGCGATATGGGGCGCGATGCTGAATACAGTAGTTAGGTTCGAGCCGGATGTGGTGCTCGATATTGCGCATAGAGTTACAGACAAGGAGATCCGTGATGTCGACAATGTAGAGTTCGGCATCAGGCTGACGAAGGATGTGGTGGAACTGAGTTGGTGTCAAGATGGGAACATTGACAGGAGAGGGGGATGTAGAGTCTGATTTGCCCAACAACGGAATACGGTATTGCTTCCCATCCTTGGCGTCGAGGACGAGGTCGTTGTGGGTCCAATCGGGGCCAGCATGGGCGAACTGATGGGAGTAGGCAGTGCCGAGAACAAGATCATATAGGGTTTCCATGACGTCGAAGGTCCACTGGTCATGGAACCGAGGGGCCTTGCGAAGGTTGTGGGGCATCTGCAAGGGGAAGGAGAATAGAAGATCAGGCACCACCGAATCGACGAATGATTTGGCCTGATTGTCGCCAAGTGTGACAGTGACAGTGGAAGGGTAGGCGAATGTATAGAGAGATGCCTCCTTAACTACGCGAGGGTGAATGAAGTCGCCAGTAGAGCCAGAGTCTCATAGTGCGCGATACACTCTAGTAGAGGTCCCGAGGCGCATTGGAATAATCGGTAAGGTGCGATCGGGATTGTGTAGGCGTTGAGACATCGCGGACAGGGTGCACTCTTTAAGGCGAAGACGTTCCTGGTGGACCTTAACAAACTCAAGGTCCAGGAAGTCAATGATATCCTCGGCTGCAATAAGGGAAGCACTGCAGTGGGCCGTGCGAAGAGCACGCCTGGTAGGAGGACGTGGAGGAGGGGGGTCACAAGGGATGCTAGGCAAGGGAGGAGAAGGCATACCAGTGTCGATAGGGTCACCCACAGATAAGGTTGGACCAGAGTCATCGGGAAGAGTAGCAAGCGGTGCAAGGGTAGAGTTGTGAACGGGTATGCCTGCTACCGTAGGAGAGTGAGGGGAATGGGACATCGTAGCTAGGTGGTTGCTGCGCTGGAGGTCGAGGCGGGGGGAACAGCCTGAGGGCGAGCCTGCAGTGCGAAGTGGCTCTGGAGGGCGTCTGCGAACGGGAAGGTAGAGGAGGTATGCCCGGCGAGGCGGCAGCGGGTGCAGATGCCTCGTGTGCGAAGGTCCTCACTCTCAGCGATGGTCAGGCGGCTGCGAGGGAACACAAAGCCCGCTGGGAGGGGTAGTTGRGTGACCGTAGAGCGAGTCCTGGAGGATGAGGGCTGACGTCGGAAGAGGGCGGAAAGGGCCCGGACAAGACGGGTCGTCATGGGAAGAGCCGTCATCCTCCGTGGGGGACTGAGGGTCGGTTCCCTGATCTGGGTCACTCGCGGAATCATCTGAGGCAGTGCCATCATCAATGCTCAATGGGTCACGAAGCAGCGCATGCAAGCGACGAGAGAGGGATCGTCCAGAGCCTCTACGAGGGCCACAACGATATGTGGAGGACTGTCGAGGCTGAGAGGGCCGAGGTGCTGCAGTAGTAGCGGAATGGGCAGCGACGGACTGAGGCGAGGGGCCGACGAGCGGAGCATAGGTGAGATGAAAGGCCCTAGCAATGTTGAAAGCCTTTGTTAAGGTGGAGATGGAGTACGCCATCATCTGCAACTGGAATGACTGAGGTAGACCTGCGCGGAATAAGGCATTGTCGCCACCAAGCCATCTGATCTCAGCCACACGGGTAATCAGGTCGTGGGTGGGCGCAGGGCGAGAAAAGTACTGTTAAAGGAAATCGCGAAACTCGGGGTAAGACATGCCCTCATGTACGTCGCACTGTGAGCGAAGGGAGAGAAAGTCGCGCCAGGTTGAGGCTGCACGACCTGTAAAGCGAGAGGACATCTCGACGGGCCACAGTTCCATGGCGACACCATGGTAGCAAAGTTGCTCCTCGGCAGTAGTGATCCATCCTTGGAGCTCGGAGGACCTGCCGTCAAACTGTGGGAGGTGATCCCGTCGAAACTGTGTAACATACGTTGGTGGCTGATAATGGGTAGGGAGAGGGAGAGTCGATTGTGACAAGAGGACAGAAGAAGTAGTGGCACCAGCAGAACCACTAGAAAGAGCAGGAAGTCGGGGCAACGGTCCCTAACACATCGTGGTGGCTGGTGGTGGGAGAGTGAAATGCATCGTAGCGGCCTGTGTCTGATGCTGTCGATAGATGAAAGGGGCAACAGGTTGTGCCGCGAGGTGGGGAGGCAAGGGTTTATCTCCTTGGAGTTGGCGGATGTGATCATGGGTCAGGGTGAGCTGGCGTTGGAGCTCGACATTCTGTGTCCTGGGTGTAAGGGGGG